CATTCACAATTTTAATATTAATATTAGTATGACATGGATATGAATTTGACTTATAACATCACAGGTTAGTCCAATTGATCCAGACGGTTGAACCCTTGACCGCCACCATTTACAATTGGTCTGTCATGACAAAGAAAGGGAAAAATTAAAATTAAAAGAATTGCACTTTAATCCCCAATATGCAATATTGGGTCTTAACGTATGAATGCAACTTTTTCAACAAAAAGCAAATACGAAAAATAAAAAATAAAAAAAAAACACATAGAAATGTAACTTGTGTTGTGTTGGGTTGAGTCGGAAATTTGTTAAATTTTCAATGGGCCCGAATCCTAACCCGAACCCAATGTAATTCAAATTCTTCAACTTGTTAAAATTTGGCCCGAATCCTAATCCGAGCCTAATGTAATTCAAATTCTTCAAGCGGGGCAACCCGACTTTCAGCCGTATATACACCACACAGTTGGTTACATTGCATCATTTTAGATGCATTCAACGTCTACCAGTCTAGTGGTCCCATTAACTATATTCTAGATGCCTAGTATAAAATATGTGTAGAGGGCATAATTCGAGCTAATCAAAACTATTTTTTAATGCCTCGTGAGGTGAATTTACCAAGCGGATTTTTCAAGGAAATATCGTCTCATGAAACAACTTTCTTTGCTATTACTATATTCAGCTCTTCTATTGTTAACAAAGATCAATTCTTAAAGCCCATACACATTGTAGTTGCATGTATGTTGATCAATCCACCCTCCTATCGTGTAAAAATCTTTTTGAAATGTGTGCCTTGTATTTAAGCTAGGTATGTCAATCCCAAAAGTTCGCTAGGGCCAATGAGGCATGAGATTTCAAGCAAAGGTTTAAAATATTATTCCGTGGTAGTGGTATATTGGGCAGTATCGATAGTTTTTTTTTTTTTTTTGAAGCTGATTAAGAGGGGCCGGTTTAAAGTCCATCCACCTATGAATCAATCGAGACCCCGAAATACTCCCTATAAGGACGTACTAGAAAGCCCCTAATACAATACATATCAGCCGAGACAGCCCAATTTAAGGCAAGGCATGAGGAGCCATAGGGATGGCATATATCCTTGGATTCCCTTTTTACAAGGTTTCAAGATTTCTACCCCATCTACAGCAATGCCATCTCAATAAAGTCTCGAAGCTCCTAATGAATAATCCATCGAGTGGAAGAATTTGTTCAATAAAAATGAGGTAAAGGTCATTTTCGACCATCCCTTTGTTGAATCAGGATGGATGGGATGTTTTAATTTGGGCATTTAGATATAGCTAGGGTTGTCAATTGGTTGATTCAGCCCGGCTGTTCGAATTTGGTTTCGTGATTTTGTCCAATTAATAATTGGGTCAGCTCCAGTTTTTGCCTGTCCCAAATCGATATATATATATATATATATATTGTTCACATTTTATTTATATCCTTGCTTCCCAAACTCTAACGACCCACTCGTCTTCATACCTGAAGCCATGTCCTCAACTAAAGGTTAACTATTGTAATATATCCTTGCTTCTCTACTTAATTTGTTTACTTGATTTGTCATTCAAGCAAAAGCTTATTTTTCTGTAAATATTGTTCACATATGGATCTTGAATAAAAGAACTATTGATGTATTAATCATACCTAGTGACCAGTTGCTTAAGTAAACATCTCTTGGGGACAGTTTGTTAAACTTCTCAATGTGAAAAGGATCAAATCCAAGGAATTATTTGTTAGTAGCCAAAAGAGGGGAAAGTCATATTCAACTAATCAAACCATTTAAGTTATATTGTTGAAATCTACCAGTATTGGCCAAAAAGAACTACCGGTATTCAAAATAGAATGAAGACTTATCCAATGACAAATATATTTGTCACATAATAGTTATCTGCATAAGAGTTTGGAGTATGCTAATCCTTTTATGAAGTGTTCAATTGCTTTGGTTCAGTTAGTATAATAGAAAACCAGGAGATTAGGGTTTGGGGAAGGGAAATAGGGTAAAGAAAATATGAAGAGTGCAAAATATAAAGGGAAGAAAAAACTTGCAATTTTTGGGTTCATGAATTATGGGCTACATAAGTTAAAAAATAAATAATAAAAGTAAATAAATATTGTTGTTAGACTAATAGTGGATAGTGTTAAGTAAAGCATACATGGGAACACCATCACCTTGCAAAGAATACATGGTGTTCATTCATCAAGTCTATAACAAATTCAATAGTTGTAGGTATACAAGAGATCCAACTTTTGGGAACATCTCCCTATGAATGATAACTTTCAAGTATAGAGATGTTTTAGATGTGTGGCTCTAAATGCCATGAGGAGCGCTCTGTGAGTAGGGGTATAAACGAAACGAATCGAATTCAAATCGAATCAGACAATATCCAAATTCGAATCCGATTAGAAAATTTGACATCCAAATTCGATTTGATATCTGATGGATATTGAAAATTAATATTCAAATTCGAATTCGATTAAATATTCAAATTTGAATTCAACCAAATAATTATTTTAGGTAATTAATAAATATATAAAATAAACATTTTATTTATATAAAGAATATCAATATATAAACTATTCATATAATTTAATTATTATATATAAATTATAGAAAACATTTAAATATTCTATATATTCTATATAAGAATTAAATAATCGATTGAATTCATATATTTATCGAATCAAATAAGGTCATATCCGAATTTGATCCGATTATATCAAATCTTGAATTCGATATCGGATTTTTGAATACCATTGACACCTCCATCTGTGAGGAATAAGTCCAAACTTTCGAAGCTAAACTCCAATCAGAAAAAAATGATTCCAAAGAGGTTGTGAACCAGTTGACTCAGAGAAAGAAAATTTATTTCCCCTTAATGCATTGGTTGATGTCAAAATTCTCGAAGCTCCTTATTTTCTACCAAACAAAAAAAAAAAGGAACACTATCATAAACAGTAGTAAGAAACATTACCATTCAACTATGATACGAGAAATGCATGATACTCAAAAACCACTTATTATCAATCAACCAGTATCATAAAAGTGATTAACCAATTAGGTGGTATTCATCAAAATTCAAAGAGGCTTCGATTGGTTAAAGCTCTTCCTGCATCATACATCTCCAACATCATAGATTTTCTTATGTCATTATTATTTAGAAATTATTTTAGAAAAAACTCTACATCTTTAATTTTTTTAATCTCTTAACCAATGAATGATAGAGATATGGTAGGATTATCACATGAAAATATCCTCATCTAGTCACCAACTTTAGTAACCCAACAATCTGGTGTAAATTATAATATTGTTAGTGGATTTGACTACAGATCAATGTTTTGAAATTTGGATTTAGCATAAAAAGGGCCCCGGTGGTCCTGGGCAATCCAACTGACCCGAACCCAATATAAGTTATGCTTTACTTAAATCAAGAAAAACTTTAGCTTTTGAAAAATAAAAAAACAGTCTGGCCTATTTGTCTTTTTGACTTAAAAATAATATTGAATGCAAATATTCATTTACCTCACACCCATATTGAGTGGAAAATGTTAAAAGGCATGGCTCTATAGTTGTTTATTCCAAAAATAACTGTAATATTTTTTTATACAGAAAACAAAATTGATCAAATAGAATCAAATATAGTGGTTGCTTATATGTTATTAGGGAAAAATGGTATTTTCATTTCCATTTTTTTTTATTGAATTTATTTGAATGGACATCAGGGTTAAAGTTTGTTATTTTCCACTGTCATCTAAGAATGGATTAAGTAAACCAATTGCAAATTATAGGGGTATTTTAATAAAACACAAACTATAGGAAGGATTTTAATAAATGATCTTATGATATATAACACTTTTAATTTTTATATATACAATAATATATATTTTTTTATTTTTTATATGTATACATTTTTTCAAGTATATGAATTTTGGCTAATTATCGAACTTGAATTAAGCCAAATATGAACCATGTTTCGAACGCAAATTCAGACCTCATATTTTTTATGCCGAGCTGACCAAATGCTCAACACGGCTCAAATCCACAAATGACCTCAAATTGAGACCACAAGGACAAGGACCACAACAATGCGTCCAAACTCCAAAGCCCAAAGGCCATAATTTCACAGGGGCTAAAACCACGGGAGCAACTGATTTCACCTCCGTGTCATTCATAGGAATCTCCCACTTTCCCAAACAGCCAAATTCCGAATCTCAATCCAATCAATAGTCAATGGTAAGTTGGTGACCCCACCAAAAGTTTGTCTTTTCTCTCGATATCACAATTTCTTAATTAAGTCCACTCTTAACACAAGGCCAAAAAGTTTTTGACCGTGAACCGCCGAGGTCTTTTCTATAGTATTAATGTTAACGGTTATAAATTTGTTATGCCATTCTGTCCTCCTTCCATCTTAAACATGCTCTTAAATTTCTCATGGGAGTCTCCCTCCACCCCTGGACCCTGGTGTGTCAATCACGCCACGTGGCTACACTCAGAAGATAAAGACCCCTACCCGAGCCCGAGAAAAACCTCCTCCAGCTCCAGCCGCTCCGCTTTGGTGCTTGTAAATGGGTCCCACAGTGTAAGCTCAGCCAAGCCTAGAATTCTCTCTCTCTCTATATATGCGATGCATGGAATCAGGATCCACGCTGACCCACAGAGACACAGGTAAAACAGTTCTAACGTCATGATGAAAAGGACGGTCATGATGGTGACGACGATAATGAAGATCACTAACAAAAGTTGCCCACCTGCAGCTTTTCGCACTGAAAAAAGTCAACGCCAACCTCGCGCACTCACAGTACATGCTTTATGGCTTTTGTGCGGTTTTTCCTTCCGCGTGTTCCCTATTTGACTGCATGTACCTGGCCTGCAGCCTGCTAATGTGCACCGACCTCCTCCCAGAGTGGCAGAAGTGCATTATTTTATTATTTATTTTATTCCAATCCACGGCCTTTACTTGGCAGTTGCTTAGTGCGCAGGTTAAGGGACGTAACCTCCTCTAGTCATCCTCCTTCCCTTTTCTTGCATTCTCACTCTCCTTCTTTCCCTCCTGCTCTCTCTCTATATATATTTAGAGAGAGCGAGAGCGAGAGCGAGAGCATCTTCTTCACTTCTGAGTAATCCATGGAGGGCCTTCCAGCTGGTTACCGTCCCAACGTTGGTGTTTGCCTCATCAATTCTGAGAATCAGGTACTCCGCTCTGCTCTTGTTCTTGTTCTTGTTCTTGTTTTGTATTCATGCAGATATTAATAAATAAGTTATTTTTGGTAGACTTTGGAACCCTAAGTTTGTATGCTTTCTCTTTGGTTGCTTTAGTAGATAATTTCTAATTTCCAGTGACACGGTTGGTATTAGTGGAATAAACTTGTCTTTTTTTTGGTTGGTTTTGAGATGGAGAAACAGGGAATTGACTGTAAGAGGTTCAAAATTTGTAGTTTTAACAGTTTTAAGATTGTTTTAGGAATTTGATTGAAATAATCGATCTTTAGGTGTGATTTTTGCTGGTGAACCAGGTGCAAAACTAGAGCAATATGATTGGAAACGTCGTTAATGGAATTAAGGAAATTGGTAAATATACTACTTGTTTCATTAGTTTTAAGAGCTATAAGTTAGATGACTTTAGGAATGGGAGTGAAATAACTGATTATTGAGTGCAATCTATTGTCAAACTAGAGTTGTCGAGTGCAATATGATTAGTAGAGTAGGAGGGGGAGTCAATAACATATATAAATAGCATTTACTTGACCAATTTTAAGAGTGAACTTAGAGGGTTTTAGGAATAAGAGTGGAAGAATAAAATCTTTAAATCTGCGTTACTATCAGATTGGGTGCGAAAGCGAAACTAGAGCTAGTGTAGAAGGAGGCAACTAAATACTTAATACTATTAATTTTGTGCCAGAAAGAATTGGAAGCATAGATGACAAGATATTGTATGCTGGTACATATCCTCTTAAAGATATTTCTTCTCCAGGAAAAAATATTTATAATCTATAAAAATGGAATTATTTAATGGACTGGACTATTATCAACTAATAGTTTTATACCAAGTAATCACAGTCTTTGATCCATTCTAAGAAGGAAACCAGCATAATGGTGAAAAAATGTTTCCATTGAAAAGCTTGGGCTTATTAAACCTTTGAAAATGAAGTAAGTAGTTGTTTCCAATTATGATTTTTTCTCTTCATAAAGTGATATTTTTCTATATTTCCCTTTCCCACAAATTTGTAGGTCTTATTGTGTGATTATGTGGTTCACCATAGTAGTCTTCTGTTGTTTCCTTGTAGGTTTTTGTGGCTTCAAGGTTGAATGTTCCTGGAGCATGGCAGATGCCTCAGGTAAAATATTATGTATTCTTCAAAGCAAATGTGATTTGTATATACTTAAAGAAAGAAGAGCTGGTTTAAATTCAGATACAATTCAGAGCTAGTAAATTGCAGAAAATGGTTATTTAGTTTCAGTTATTGCTTAAAGAAGCATCGAATCCTTGTTTCCTAAGAAACATGTTCTTTTATTTGAGAGAACATTATACACATTGTCTCAAATATTTTACAGCTATTCAAAGGTTCAGGGCTGTTTCTATGTCATACACCTGCATATAGACATATCTATGATATTTTACAGCTAGGAGTATGGATGCCTGTTAAAGAACAACCACATGCATGCCTCTTATTGTGGTGCCTAGGTCATGGGGGATGCCTTTTTGGTTTTGCATTTCTATTCGGCTACCATGTTCTGAATTTTCTTTGATTTTGGAAAACAAATTTCAAACATTTTGGTTTGAATCTCCATGGAAAAGAATCTCTGCATCATGGACTCTGATCAAAATCTTGAGATTGTTTTCTGTTCTCCTTTTGCTTGTTCGACAATGTTTTGAATATGGTGACTAAGAACAAACTTCTAAATCTTCTAACAGTATCAAACATGTAAATTCACTTTTACATTGTCAATTTAGGGAGGTATAGAAGATGGTGAGGAACCAAAATCTGCAGCTGTCAGAGAGCTACGGGAAGAAACTGGAGTAGTGTCAGCTGAAATTATTGCAGAGGTTAGTTCAAAAGTGGTTTTGTAATGATGCATCATCTATACTAATGATTTTATGTATAGTTTGTATATTTGTCTGATTCTCTCTCTCTCTGGAGGTGNTAGGGGTGGAGATAGATGAATGCAACAAAACCATTTTGAAAAATATAGGGTGTTAAATCAAGCAATAAACTTCAATAGTGGTAGAGATTCTAGAGAAAGAAAAGAAAAAAATTATATCCATGTTGGTGTGAATTTCTGAAGAATAAGGAAAGCTATAGCACGAGAGTATTAGTAATTATGGATTATTGGTGGTATTTTAATGAACCGTATGAGCATATAATGAATAAATGAAACCAATACTTTTGACAAACAATGATACACACAGAGGCATGCATGTGTTAATGCAGTTACAACTTGCAAGATGAAATTTATTAGAGGTATTTAAAAGAATTAGAAGTTCTAGATACACAAATAATAGTATGGATAAGGTTTGAGAGCTTTCTCCTGAAGAATCATACGGGCTGAGAGTTTTGATAAGGAAAGAGAATATTCATTTCAATCATTCTCCAAGTTTGAATCAATTTTACTATCATAGCCGTATTTGTAAATGTTGGTCTAAGTGTATTTCTGTCCCTATGGAATTGACATATATTTTGGAAGTTTCAAAACTAAGGGAATTCTATGAAACCATAAAAGTTAACAACTATATTACATTAAAAAGTCATCCATATGATCATAATAACAATTTGGAATAAGTAGGGTAAAGTTCATAGTAGGTTATACTTGTTATGCAAATGACAAAGATTCCTAGCATCAAAATTAATATCACACGCTTGTTGCTTGGTGTAATCCATATTTTTCAAGGCGCCAAGGCGAGACTAGGTGATAGGGGGGGGTGCCTTGTCGTCCTAGTGTAGTTCCCTAGGTTCCATAACCATCTAGAAAATCAACATTTTATGAGAGGAAAACGAACAAAGGAAAGAAAATTCAAAAAGTATAGGGGCTGAACCCCTACTTTTGTTATAGGAAAAGAAGAAAAGAAAATGTGTTGATTAGACAAAATTTTAAGTTCTTCCCTTGCTTATTGGTTCAGGTTTTGAAATCTTTGAGGGTTCAGTCAATGATCAAAATTTCGATATGATACGCCCCATATTGGGTGTATTGTATTGTATCTTTGGGGTCTCGATACACATGTTTATTGGTGTTTTCGGGGACCCTTTTTTTTAAATAATATATATATATATAAATGAAATTGAAAACCAGTATTGTTATAAGTACCGATACACCTCTGCCAATACATAGAGGTGTATCGATACTTTGAACCATGGGTTCAATACAGCAGTTAGCAATGTTTGTATTGATTAAACCCTAACAAATAAGAAAATAACAAAAAGAAATTAGTATATGAACACATAAAATGAATATTCTAGTTTAACAATATCTATTTTATAATTATAATGTCAAAAAATTAAAAATAGAAAAGTATTTTATAACATAGTGCAGAAAACTGCTTGGCAACTGGGCGAGGCGAGCCTCCAAGGGCGCCTTGTTGCCTAGGTGCCCGCCTAGACGTTGCCTTGAAACTATGGTGTAATCTGAGCAATAAAATGCAAATAATTCATTCAACTTGTATTACTTGGTTTCAATTTTGAAAAGCCTAATGGCGCTTTTCTTTTGACCAGAAACTAGAGAAATTTCAAAAAAAAAAAAAGAAAACTATAATAAAAATGTATAAGACACAAATGGAAGACAAATAGAAAACAAGCCCAACCAATGACCCAACCTCAACCTTCCTTGGAGTCTACCCAGCATCTACTTTCTGGTTTTTGTTTTATGGAAATATGAATTTTTGCGCATTTTTTGAAGGGTAATAGTCTATCAGTCCAAGTATCTAATACAAGTTTCATAGCAATGACTTCAAGGGAAATATTCTATTAACTTATACTCAATGCAATCTCTGAAGACTGAATAATGTACGAAACACTCAGCATTTGCTACACATCCCTCCACATGTTGGCTTAAAAAAGTGTGCTGGAAAAAGATTATGAATGGGCTTTTCATGATTCTGATAAAGTTGTGTATTGGCAGGTTTCCCATTGGTTGACATATGACTTTCCTCCTGCAGTGAAGGCCAAAGTTAACCGCCTGTGGGGAGGTGAATGGCATGGGCAGGCTCAGAAGTGGTAAGTTATATTCTTCTTTAGACAGTATCATTGTATCCATGTTTCATTTTCTCATCATTGACAAGAAAAATGAAGATAATGACAAAAGCTTTATTGAATCGGCATTCTAATTTTATCGTTTTTTTTTTGTGAATTAGTTTTTTTTTGTTTTTTATTCCCTTGATATTACCAAAATTTCCTGCGTCACTCATAATGCACATTTTCATAGCCAAATGTCTCTAACTGTGACTATTGCTGGCACTTTTAGCAGCTTCACTGAGCTTATTACAAGAATTTTATCTTCTTGATTTCCAAAGTAGATATCTATGGTTTTTCTTAAGCCTTAAGAGCAGTTTGTTATAATTTAGTCCACTTGTTCTGTTAATTGGTTTGGTAGGTCAGTTCCCCCTTGTGCATATTCAGCCATTGTACCTTGTCTGCTCTCATTTTAATGTTCCTAATTGCATCTGAATATTACTTAGTATTTTATTTCGTTGTGATAAGGTTATCACAGTTGAAATGTTCAGTGGAAATTTCAAACTTATTATATCAATTGTTAGCACAGAGAGCTGTATGCTTGACTGTTATTATGTGTATCCCATCATGCATAACTCATTCATCTCTATTTTTCCAAATCAGTTCAGAATGACTCTTTTACTGTTTCTCAATCTTTCATTTTGCATGTTGGCCTCTGCTAGCCAGGTTGCTTAGTGGAGGAGTCTAAATGACCCAAGAACCCTCTGTGTTGCAATATGGTTGAGGCCCCCAAACACACCACTTCTTCCTTCGATTTCCTTGTATTCATGGAGCAAATTCAGTTTTAACTTTTAACCCCTTGCCACATGGCCAAAATAATCCCTCCTTTGGAGGCTATTTTTTAATTATAATATTGAAAATTTGCACAGTTTGTATATCTTGGGAAAAGCTCCACTACAAGGTGGCATATAGGGTTGGCGTAAACCAAGGGAATAAACACATCAAAAGAGTTCCCTGGGCATGGGTTTTAAATGGTGGGAAATGATTTGAGGGCCCATAATTAACATTGTATATGACACTAAAGTCTAAACAGAGTGGAATGGCAGAACAGGATTCCTGTAACCTACCACATATATATAATTGGGACAAGGCTTTCTTAAGTTGAGTTGAGATTCCCTTATCCATGAAACAATACACCTAGTAAGATCCCTGATTGACCTGATTACAACCTTTTTTTTTTCCACATGTAGGATTGCTACATCTAGTAGAATGGAAGAGATAACTATATGTAGGAGATATTGAGAAGAGTTGCAACTAAAAGTGAATTTCTAAAATCTACCATGATGATGAGATCTTTGGTGCTAAATGTCCAAAGTTGTTTTACAAAGCAATTAGGATGCCAAGTTCTTTCGTGCATTCTTTACTCTTGAAGGTGTGGTGGATGCAGAAGACCCTAATGTAGATTTGGTATTTGTGGATATAGAAGAGAAAATCCCTATTGGCTGTAGTAAATTCCTCAAACATAAAAAACGTTAGTTTCAACAAAAATTAAAAAAAAAATATGTGGTATGCTATTTGTCAACCATGTCAACATGAAATTATGTCAAATTGTTTTAAGAAGCATTTTAAATGAGTACATCAAGGATTTTATGAAAATTACACAAGCATGTAGATGTCTAAACTAACTTATTCAGGATTTTGAATTAATGAATATGGTTACACTCATTTTCATTTTAGTGATGAGCATGATGACTCCATTTAAATGATGAACTTGTACATCCATGTGCTAAAGGAAAACCAGAATGAAATAATTTTTTTTTAATGTGGTTGAAAAAATCTCTCCAAGGAAATTCATGCAAATTTGCTTAAATCTTCTTGGGGAATTTTCAGAGTGAGGGGATTCGAGGCTGAGACAAGCTTGGAATTGATAACAGCTTGTCACTTGAGAGCAAACTCAAAGTAACTTCAGTTATATCCTTCCTGAAAAACATACCAGCATTATTTGGGATGGATATTGAATTCATCAAGATTCCATATATGGTTGGGATAAGGCTTAGATGATGATTGAATTCATCAAGGCCAATAATCAGCATTTACTTCCTTTTTCAGCCCTCCCCAGCCACTACAATGAAAAGACATTAAACTGCTCTTATTTGGAATCTAAATTGATAAATAGTCACTGCTTCAGTTTTAGTTACATCTGCAATACATTATGTTTTATTCTTAGTTCAAGACAAAATTGATTACTAGCAAAATTTACAAACTTAAGTTTGCACTGTGCATGCCATCCAATTTTCATTTCTTTATGTTGAAGAATTCTTTGCATTTGAGTGTTATACGAGTCCCCGAAATGGGAGACTCTAAGAAAAACCCTTAACTGGAGTGCTTATATGACATTAATTGTGAAGAATTAAGTTTTTAAAACAACCATATTTTACTACATAGGATGGGAGGATAGTGGATAGATGGCATACCTATATCATGATAAAATATTGAAAATGCTGTATGCATGTAACTTAGTTTCAAGCATTGCTGAAGTTATTTATTTATTTATTTGATTTTGACGAGTAACTGAAAGAATTTTATTAATATTTAAAATAAGTACAAGATCAAATCATACACTCTGTGGAGTAGTTAGAGTTGGCTAACACCCACCATAAAACAGAAAACATAAACAGATCACAGCAATACATCACTAGACCCCAGTACATGTTTTCCCTTGTGGCCTCTTGTTTTGCCAATCCATTTGCAGATCTTGGTATCCAGGTTACATTTACTCTCAAAGCTCAGTTTGGAAAGAGTACAAATACAAATATGTACAGCACAAATACATACAAAATAATATAAAATGCAAAGTTTTGTACTCTACAAATTTGTATTTGTACTCCTTCCAAACTGAGCCCAATTCACACATGATGTTTTTAATCTCTCCTACAGCATATCTATACTTCCATTGTTCTCCTGGCTTCCATATCTATACATTTGCTGAAGTTGATATATGTGGTTTACTTGATGCCTTTTTCTTACTATACGAAATATTACACATTATCTACTTTTGTGTTAGTAATTGTTATGTGCATTTCTGCATTTTGGCAGGTTTCTCATGAGACTAACTGGAGATGACAATGAGGTTAACTTGGCAAATGGTGAGGTTGACCCTGAATTCTCAGAGTGGAAGTGGGCGAGTCCCGAAGAAGTAATTGAGCAGGTATGCCGAAAAAGCATCCCCTTCAGGGTATTTTCTCAAGTCTTACTGTTATCTGAAAACCTTTTTGGGGCATGGGGATAATTGATGCAGGCAGTGGATTACAAGAGGCCAACATACGAGGAAGTCTTAAGAACCTTTATGCCTTACTTCAATGGAAAAGAGACAGCCTAAATGTAAATCAACGAACTGTACAGGTGATGGTTAGGGCTTTCATCTGTCCCTGTGGTTGAACTAGCATAGTAAAATTTGGACTAGTGTAACTTTGTAAATGGTATGGCATTGCAGTTTTTGAACTAGAGTTATTGTTTAGAAGTAGAATTGCTTTTGGGATATTACTTGGTTTGTTGTCTGTTCCCCGTCAGTGTCCTAAGAAGTTGTTTGCCACCTTTGGAAAAAAGTTTCAAGGAATAGCAGTAATTTTTCTTGAATTTAGTTCAAGAGGAATGCTAGTAAAGAACGGTTTTGTGTCTCTTGGACTATTCAGACCACAGACATGGTAAGACCCATGAGACCTCAGACAAAGTTGGACATATCTTTTCATGGTCCCACCTTATCAATACAACAGATAAATACAGGTGCTGCACATAAGGTCATTGTGTTTGCTAGCATGCTCTTCAGTTAAGCGGATGCAAACACAAGAAAATTTATAAGAGATGATTTCCAAATCTTGAGTTGATTCCTAATGCGGCAAGCATTTTAACAGTGTGGAACTGCGAATGGTGAAAAACCGTTAATAGCAGTTGATGAAAATTGCAACAAATATTTATTAAAAAAGGGAAATTGTCTAAAACTCACCATGGGTTTTCAATATTTCTCTTAAACTCACAACTTTTCAAAATGTCTAAAATTCACCATGTCAGTAAGTTTTTATTTTCCAAAACTCACATTCCGTTAGTGTACTGTTAATGCTTCTTAACAGAGGTATCCATGTCAGCATAAATAATAATTTTCATGACCAAATTACCCTTGAATGGTGAGTTAGAGGAAAGATAGTGTTTTTCAGTTTTCAATTTCTTTTTTTTTTTTGCATTTTTAGTGTTGTGTTATAATTTCTAATGTTTTTTATGATTTCTGTTTTTTTTACATTTTTCTATTTTCTACAATCTATAAAGTTTCCTGTATTTTTTATTTTGTTTGCAATTTCTATAATTTTTTGTAATCTCTATGTTTTTGTGTATTTTATATTTGAATTTTTTTTTGAACTTTTTCCTTTTTCATGTATAAATACTAAAATGGTAATATATTAACACTCATTAATTTATTTTGTATATATTTTATATTTTTCTATGAAGGTTAAAATGGTAATATATTAACACCCATTAGTCTGTTTAATGTCAAGTTAGTGACATGGTGAGTTTTAGACATTTTGAAAAGTTGCTAGTTTAAGAGAAATGCTGAAAACTCATGGTGAGTTTTAGACAAATTCCCTTAAAAAAAGAAAAGAAAAGAAAACTGCAATAACAGACAAGGACGTTGATTGGGGAAGTGAATACCTGGTAAGGATTAGTGACGTTCTATGTAATATAGAGACCATTTGGTTCACAGGAATAGGGGTCTGGAATTGGAATCGGAATGACAACTGTTTGGTTGGGTAGAATCGGAATTCCATTCTCATTCCTGGAATGGCATTCCCCCATTTGAGAGAATAGCCATTCCCTCCCTTTTCCTTGGGAATGAAATTCCATTCCGATTATTGTTTGAACCAAACGGATTATGAGAAAGACCATTCCGGTTCTGATTCCAATTGTGAACCAAATGGATGCATAGTTTTTGAACTTTTCTGGTTAACAGTGAGCAGCTAATTGATCTTATAAATCCCCATTGGCACATCTCATTAAGCACACTAACTGCTGTGGGAGCAGTCTTTTACATTGGCCACAGAATGAATATTTAAGGATGGGCTTTTAGACAGAAATAATGCTTTTGAATTGCTAGACATGGCTTGTGGAAATTGGATGGGCTCAGATTGGTTTTATCTCAATCTAGGCCCAACCCTAAGAATTGAGCCTAAGGTCAAGCCTGAGTTGTTCAACCCAGGCCCAGCCTCCACTGAAATTTGATGCACTTGGGTTGTTTTTGTTTTACTAGGATTGGGTTCAGGTTGGTCAATCATCCCAGACTAAAATTTGATATAAATGTATGTATATACATATGCATGTATACATATATCTATGCTTTACCAAAAAAAAACATGTATATGCATATATGCTTACAAATGTATATGCATATATGCATACATGCATGTATAAATTCAGATTGGGATACAGTTGGGCAGAGTTTGAGTTAACTAAAGGTTAGGCCTGGGCCCAACCACCCAACCTAAACCCAGCTGAGGACTAAAAATCCAAGCTTAGCCCATATAAAATTGCATGATGAATTGGTTGGGGCTCGGGTTGAACCCATCCAAGTTACACTCCTGGCCGTGGACCTATACCGATTATGGAAAGTCGATTCTTGAAATTACACGAGATGGAGATATTATCAATCTTGTCCCTGAGACGGTGAGACCATGATGAGCTCCAGACCTCCGGTCATAATTACTCTGTTGATCTGATTTCTCCATGTCTACCTCTTTCAACATGGGATCACATGGTATGGTGAAGATGAACATGAACTACTCTCTCAACATGCTTCCTGTTTTTTATTTATTTTCTGGCTTTAACTTACACCGGGTTGTGACTTTCAAAGCGGACTTTGCCAAACCAAAAAAAAAAAAAAATCATTTTTGAGCTTTAAGGCTTTTAAAAGCCCAATTAAACAGGGCCATGGTTAATTAATCCCTCTTAAAATACACAGACGACTTATAGCTGTAGCTTGGATATTTCAAGTTGTATGTCATCTCATGAGAAGGGATTCTATCTTCGCTTTCATACCTAGTTTAGTAGCTCTGCTCTTATTTATTTGGTTTTGGCTTAGCCTCTTATACCATCACCTCTTGCAGTGATTTACAAGTGTTTCTTACTTTTTATTTTCTTAAATGGTGTTTGGTATCGATATAACTTTTGGAAAAAATGGTGCCAGTTCAGCAATAAAGACCGATTTTCACTGTTTGGCTTATATGGTGCCTAATGGAGTCTAGTGGCACGTGATGGCCCTTAGGTGTAAAAAAAATCGTATATAATGTTTAAAACAGATTTTATCTCGTTTTTTAAGATAAATTCGTACAAAACGTTTATCTTATAAACACCATCGATACCAAAAAGGGAGAATCACATTAATGGTGGATGATTTACTACTAAAATTCCAAAGGGTTAGTTAAATACCCTGAATTATTTGACAAATACTTACCCCTGAAATTTAAAAACCTATTTAAAGTTTTGGAAATTTGAGTTCCGTTAAGTCTTGCCGTTAAATTAGACAAAAAGTCTTTTTTGCCTTTAATGTTCTTCGAATTTTCAAAACATGCTACTATTTTACATTTCTGTCAAAGACCCACAAATAGGTCTTTACAGGGGTCTTTAAGTATATCTCAGATAGTTCAAGGGTACTTTAAATAATTAACCAAATTCCAAAAGTAATTTGCATATCATATGGTCTATGTCTTATACTTCACCACTAACGATGTGTCCTTATCTTGAACGACCAATATGACATATAGCTGAGTCCGTGTTCTGAGAGTTCACCGGCCAATCACAAACGTCCACATCGGTGTGTTTAAAATTTATTAACAGACGTTTAGCTGTTAATTAAAAAATCCGGTTGAACCGGACACAAAAAGACAAAAAACTTAAAACACACCTTACGCCATTCTTCCTCCCATACTTTCCTCCGCCAACCCCTAGCCCAGAAGCATTCACCTGCGACCGGCGATCTCACTGGTCGCAGAAGCCACCGGCGGCAGGTGTGAATGGGTCTGAGTTCTCATTCTTTTTGCCTTTTACCTTTCATAACGCTGGGACCACGAAGCCAAAGCTCACCCGTGCGGTTCGCTGGCAACGCTTCTCCAGTTCCACCGGCATCGTGAACGCACAAGCCAAGTTCTAGTTTCAGTTCCACAGTAGGGAAGTGAAGAACCAGCCAAACCCAAAAACCGGAGGCAGTTTCCTTGTTTTCTTACAAACCCAGGTGCACTACAAATTGCAAACTGTCGCAGCTTCATCCAGATCCACTCCAAATCAAAGCTTCATCGTCAATTTGTCCGTCTGTCTCCTCTCTCTCTTATTCAATCTCCATCCACAACAGTTGCAGCTCTCTCTCTTTCTACAGAGTCCATACCTGAATTTTCAAATCCAAAAGCAAACAAATTATATAAATCCAAGATCTGAAGATCCTCTGTTCACGTTGTCTCTCGCTCTCTCAATTCTTCTCACTCCCTCTATCTCTACAAACCGTGTTTTCCAATCTCACCAACAATCTACTCATCCATCCATGAAGCCCCACATTTGTAAGTTGCTCAACAACGATGCGCCTCCGGGAACCAGCCACTCACAACGTCCGTTAAAGTTAGTGAATTTTAAATACGCCAGCGTGGGTGTTTGTGATGAGACCGGATCTGCTCCTCACATGCACATCCTATCATGCATTTGGAATATCTTTAGTACTTATTTGTTATTATTCACGGTGGATGTATATATGAGACGCCCATTTGTGAGGAGCAGATCTTATTATGTAGATGCACTCGTCCGGTGCACCCATGGGTGCATAGAACGCGGACTCCATATAGCTGCACGTATTTGTAAGAAAGCCACTAAGGTTATGTTTGATTAAAGATTCTATTGCAAAAGTATCATTTTTTGCATAATGAGTTTTGAGCTAAAAGTGACTTTATAAGTTAAAATTTTCAGCTTTGAATAATCAATTATTTGAATGAGTGGTGAGTAAAATGAATTAATAGAAGTTATTTTCATCTATCCAAGCTTAAAATGATTTTTACCATCACAAAATTCATCAAGATTTTTCTTTGAAATCATGCTAAAGCATAACCTATATGACTAATGCTTTATTTTGCTCCTATATTAATCCAATCACCTATATGGCTAAAACTTTACATTTGGGCATTTTTGTTTTTCAGTAAGCCATTCATCAACTGGGTAATCCTTACCTCAGTAATGCATTTACCCATATTCTTTTAATCATAATTTTTCCCAGACAAATTAAATAATTGGTCACTTTTATCTATAAATTTCATTATTAGAAGAGGCAATTTTACCTTATAATGTTTTTGGCAACTTACCTAGGTGGAAAGGTTAAAATCGATTTATCATGGGGTCCATAGTTATTGACAATTATGTGTAAATTGGTTGTTCATTCAATCTGATTTGTAGCAAATATATGTTCCTAGCCATTATTTAGAACTAAAGTTGTTTTCTTGAAAAATGACACCACGTCAACATCACGTTTGAAATCCGTTTTTTAGAGCAGACATGATATTTGATTATACATTTTTTTCTGAAAAAACATTTTCTCAAACCATGTCTAACAAATATGGAAA